CATCAATAAAAAGTAATAAAATACTGATATATGCTAAAACATGAATGAACCTTGAAAATATTAAGTTAAAAAAGCTAGTCACAAAAGTCATATATTATATGACTCCATTTAAGTGAAAAGTCCAGAAAAGGCAAATCTATAAGGACAGAAAGATTAGTGGTTGTTTAGGATATGGGAAGGTGGGGTAGAAAGGGACAACTAAACTAATGGGTACGGGATTTCCTTTGAGAGGGACAAAACTGTTCTAAAACTAGATTGTGAAAAAAATAAAAAATAAAAAATAAAAAAATAAAACTAGATTGTGGTAATGTATCCATAACCCTGTGAATACTAAAAAACACTGAATTATATGCACTTCGAATGAATTGTAGCTGGTATGTAAATTGTATGGTATGTAAACTGTATCACAATAAACTGCTTAAAATAGAAAAGATAATTTTTAAATAATTCTCTTACAAGTAAATGAAACAATAATAAGAATATTATAATATTAAGATGTACTTAAAGTGCTTACTTCAATGCTTTAACGTATGGAGGAGCAAGCCCTTAGCCTATTTTAAGTAGACTCCATTAGTGAACAAGAGTTTACAAGTGGAGAAAATACCAAGCTCTTTCCAAAGCAGAAATAAACACTTCCAGCTATAAAGTTACACGATAGTTAAATAAACATAAGTGATTGCAAATCCTGTGAAATACCAACAGAGTACGCACACACACACACATACACACACACAAAAAAAACTGGGGAAAAAAAGATGAAGGAGAGGAGAGAGAAAAGAGCATGGGAAAATAAATATCATGTCAGAACAAATCTGCTACTTATCATTCTATAATATACAACAACCTCCAAAACTTGAGACCTCACAGCATAAAGAACTGACACTGGACAGAGCTAACCATCCACAAGGAGTAATTTTGCCTAGCTGTATTAAATATAAACAAAATTACTAAAGCAACAGGCATAATTTATCAAGTATCTAAATAACCTCAAAATATATAAAATTATCCTAGCATATCACCAATGGTCAATGTGAAATTCTGACTATCAGTTATGAAAGTAATACTTTAAATTCTTAAAATATCAATCAAGACAAAAACTGATGTCCAGTGTATTCACCCTACTTCACACATCTACACTCAAATCATTAAAATCAGTATCATTCCTTTCTCTGTTTTCATTTTTTTTTATTCAGAGCGAGAGAGAGGCAGAGACACAGGCAAAGGGAGAAGCAGGCTCCATGCAGGAAGCCTGACATGGGACCCAATCCCGGATCTCCAGGATCACACCCCGGGCTGCAGGCGGCGCTAAACCGCTGCACCACCGGGGCTGCCCCCTTTCTGTTTTCAAATCCCCATTCCAGACTGACAACATGAAGTGTTGGTGAGAGTATATGAGCACAGGATACTGTTACACACAACTAGTAGGACAGACATGGATACAATCCTGTGGAGAGTACACTGGCAATACTCGATCAAACTATGGGCAAGCCTCAAACCTCAGCAGACATTCCACTTGTAGGTGTATGCACTGGAGCAGTGCTACTCAAAGTATGTTCCACGGAGTGGAGCTAGGCCTTGAACTAATTTTTTGGTGGCGTGCCACAAGATAAACACAGAAGTGTCTATGATAATTTGACAGAGAAATTTTTATTTAAAGAATCTGAGTTTGTATTTTATCTTTTTTCTTTGATTTTCTTAGTCTGCTTCTTCCTCTGCCTCTCCCCCTGCTTGTGCTCCCTCTCTTAAATAAATAAAATATATATTTTTTTAAAGTACTGATCTACAACATATTGGAAACAACAAGCTAACCAACAAACACCCAAGTCTTGAGCAGCACCGCCCCAGAGTAAAAGAATACATGTACAGGAACGCCTGGGTGGCTCAGTGGTTGAGCATCAGCCTTCGGCCCAGGGTGTGATCCTGGGGTCCCGGGATCAAGTCCCACATCAGGCTCCCTGCATGGGGCCTGCTTCTCCTTCTGCCTATGTCTCTGCCTCTCTCTCTCTCTCCTTGTGTCTCTCATGAATAAATAAATAAAATCTTAAAAAAAAAAAATACATGTATAATAAGAATGTCCACAGTAGAAATCTTTTCAATGAAAACTGAAAACAGCCTAAATGCCAACCAGGTGAAAAATAGAATACTGAACAATAAAAAGGAACAATCTAATTTAAATGATTCAACATGGATGAAGCTAAAAAATCACTGATAAAAGTGATACAGTACAGAGGTATATACACACATGCGTAGTAAAAGTTAAATAACCATGCTCAGAAATAATAAACACCAAATTCAAGATGAGACTACCTCGGAGGAAAGTGGAAGGGGAAACTGGGGAAAGGTACACAGATTAACCATTTATAATACAATCTTTCTTTAAAAAAAAAAGTTAAAAAAAATTAGGACCATTACAAAAAGACCAACATGCTAAGATTTGACAAGGGAAAATAGGAGATGTTGGTTATATCATTTTCTAAACTTTGTCTATGTTAAAAATATTTCTTTTAAAAACACCAAAAATGAGGATGCCTGGGTGGCTCAGTTGGTAAGCATCTGCCTTGACCTCAGGTCATGATCCCGGGGTCCTGGGATCAAGCCCCATGTCCAGCTCCCTGCTCAACAGAGAGTCTGCTTCTCCCTCTCCTGTTCCTCTCCCCGATTTGTTCTCTCTCTCTTTCTCTCTCTCTCTCTCTCAAATAAAAAATCTTGGGGGAAAAAATGAAACAAAGAGAAAAATGGTAATAAATTTATAGTAACTGCTACAAAGGAAAACATCAGAGTCAAAAAAGGGACAAAATTCAGATTAGAGAATCAGGAAGGACTTCTCTGAGGAAGTGACATTTACACTGAGAAATGAAGCGTCTGTAAGGATTAGCCTGAGTGGGGGACATGTCCAGACAGGAAGAACAGACAGTGCTATGATCCTGAAGTAAAATGAAAGGTGTGTGGAGCAGTGTGTACCCTGAGAGTCCCAGTGAGCCAAAGCAAAAAGCATGTACAACATGGCTGAAGTCATTAAAGGATATTAAAGCAGAGAAGTGACACGGCACAATTTGTATTTTAGAAAGATCCTTCCGGATCCTTGCTCTGGAAAGATTGGAGGAGGTAAAACAGCAGAATCAGAGACTGCTGCAAGACAAGAGATGATGGTCAACATTCACTTAGTGGCAAGGTAAGCAGAAAAATAAGACCTGACTCAAGTTACATTTTCAACAAAGACTAGCAGAACTTAATGGTAGACAGGCAAGGGAAGAGAAGCTGTCTGGGAGACAAAACATCAAAAAACAGGTAAGACACCCATGAGGTTAGATAAACTTGTTAGAGGTATGCTTGAAATGTATCCTGAATTTCCTAGTTCCCACAACAATGCAGAACCCACCGTTAATTACTTAATTTATAGAGTCTATAATATGAAAACAAATCAGCAGTTGAGAAGAACAGCTACTCCCGGTAGAGATATTCAACAAAAACAACTTCCTCATAAAGGCAATGCTGTGCATCACAAAAGAAATTCCCTGAACAATATCCTTTCTGTAAATTCAAAATGTTTTATAATCCTGCTTCTATCACATCTCTTAACATTATCTAACATAGAAAGAGTTAAGCACGCACATTGCAATTTCTAGAATAAACACTGAAAGAACAGAAACAGAATTCAGAAACTTGAGAACAACCATGTCAAAAGTAGAAGAGAAACAAAATCCGCATGGAAAAATAGAAACCACAAAATAAAACAATTAAACCTAAATGTATTAATATATTGTATATTAAATGGGCTAAATGTTCCCAGTAAATAACAAAGATTGATTGACAGACAGGAAGGACTCTCAGAACTCAGCTTTTAGTTGGTATACACCAGGTAGAGAGCTCCGGAAGTGACCAGCAGGTACGGATTTGAGATTTCCAATGACCTGCCCACCTTCCTCCTGTCAGGGTCATGCTTTCATGGAGAGTACCCAGCAGGGAGGCACCAGCCATTTTGAGGCCTTGCTGTGGGCCTGCATATTTGACTGAGGGTTATGGGTTGGGGGGCTAGCTCTATGCTGAGGGCTCAACTTATTGCCAGAGGGAATTACAAATGTGGAATAGATGAAATATGGAATAAACCCTATCGTGTTGGAATAGAATTAAAGGTATTGGCATATAAACTCATGGCTTTTAATAGATAATATATTGAGGTAGGTATGTAGATAGGAAGAAAAAAAGGAGGTTAAGGATAGGTATACACATGTGACATACTAGGTAAAATTTTTAAAAGGAGAGAATATAAATAAAAGAAAATCTTTAAGATGCTAATTACCTCTGGTGAGGAAAAGAACACAGGGATGTGATGAGGAGAAGCCACAAGAAGTTAAGGATATTGATAATATTAGATGTTACTCATTATTATGTTGATAGATGATACTCATTATTATGTTGTTGCTATACTTCCTAACATGTATTTTGCATGTGAGCGAGCCCTCAATATGGCATCTCAAGAGTCTGGATTTAAGTCTTAACATGAACCTCAACAATCTACTCATACTGAATTTCAGTCTTTCCACTAACTCCCTGTGTGAATCAGGTAGAGCATGTCATTTTGGTTTATTTCCTTTAAACAGACAACAATGCTCAACCTTTTTGTTCTAATATGGACATAACTTGTTCCTCAAAGAAAAGCCTCCTCTTGAAGAATATTCATCCTTTTAGTCTCACCAAATGTACTAAACCTTAAAGAAAAGTAACATTCAAAGAGAAATAATGGTCATCTTCATACCAAATAAGGCTTCAACTAAAATATGACTACTCAAGCAATTAATAAAATCCTAAGAGAATTGTGATTATCACATCTATCCAGGCTGGTTGGTTCATAAAGGTTTAAGGATAGGCTGACTTATAAGAGAAAAACAACATAAAATAAATTTCTTTTAGACTTCTAGCTAAACAAAGGTCCTTTCTTTAACTTTCTCCTGACTATATATTATGCATTTTATAAGAATAAAATGACTAATTTAACTTACCATTCCACTGGAATTATTAATTCCATTCATATTAATTTTGGTTACAAATCTAACTGATGGAGGAGCTTCTGGGTATTTAGGTCCACATTCTACTTTCAGGCTATATATTCTGTTTTCATAATTTGTCTGGAAGGCAAAAAATAATAGTAATAATAACAATATTCAAGTGCTAATAAAGAGAAAAAGTACAATAGGATTATATTTGATCTTACTTTATGATCAAGAATTTACTTTCCTACATTGAAATTTATTAACTTATATGACCAGAAAGAAATGCAGCAAGTGTACTTAAAAGTCAAGATTTTATAATATTAAAATTACTCTACAAAAAAAAAATTATTCTACAAAGTTATATCAAAATGATCACAATTTGCTTTTTGTAGAACAAACAATGCCTATAACAAAATTAAAAGGGAAAAACAAACCACTTAAATTCAGATTGTACTAAAAAGTTTACATTGCAGGGGGAGGGACTACTTGACTTGTGTCACACATATATAAAGGTTCCCATCTGGGGATCCCTGGGTGGCTCAGAGGTTTGGCATCTGCCTTTGGCCCAGGGCGTGAGCCTGGAGTCCCGGGATCGAGTCCCACATCAGGCTCCCTGCATGGAGCCTGCTTCTCCCTCTGCCTGTGTCTCTGCCTCTCTCTCTCGGTGTTTCTCATGAATAAATAAATAAAATATTAAAATAAATAAATAAATAAATAAATAAATAAATAAATAAATAAATAAATAAATATGAATGAATGAATGAATGAATGAATAAAGGTTCCCATCTGTCCAGAACAATTCTAAGTCTTCCTACTGTCCCAGTTTTAATTATTAACAATACTTCTTCACTCTCAAAAGGGTTTGGCTGGATGATAAATTACACGGTTACCCCACTTACACAGCAATCAAAAACTTCTAGCCACAGGGAAAACACATATACCATCTTATAGCAATAAAACATAATTATTTCATGCCTGTTATTAATTATATTTATGCTACTTCATTAACTTTACGATTCATTAAATTCCATTTTCAGAGATACAACAGCAAACTTTATATCTCCATATCATTTTGTCAAGAAGTTGAACATCACCGTATTATAAAACAGCCATTTTAAAGCTACCACACTAAAATACTTCCAGATTATTTAGGCTTATTTTCATGTTATAATTAACTCTTTATCTTTATGGCTTTTGCTCACTTGGTTAACTTATTAGGGTAGAATTAATAAAAGTAAAGTAAAAAATAAATAAAAGTGAGAATGTAATACCTGTTGGCTCCTGTATAAACCTGGAAAAAAACAAATAAGCTAACCATCTATAGATTTCACTTACCCAAACTGATCCACAGCTTCCTTTCCCTTAAGTAAGAGCTATTCCCAAGTGGAGGTCAGACCTGGGATATTAACCTACTGTAATTTAAAATGTATGCAACAATCTTGTACATATAATTATTAAATATTTTGACACTTTAGAAAGAAATACCTGTATAAAAATCATGCCAGTTTAATAGCACACATCCATTAACAACATGCTCAGCACTTTGGATATGTATAGAAAGGACTAAAATCAGAGAGATCTCCAAGAAATCATCCAGTCTGTGGTTCTCCAATCTGGATACATATTAGATTTACTACAAAACTTATATTAAAAAATAATAATAGCCCCGAAAAATTCTACAATGTTAAAAATATTCACAGTATGTAGAAACAATCACAACACTCACACTTTGCTGGGAACAAACTGTTTTGGAAACAATTTGGCATTTTCTTATAAGTAATTGTATACCTACCCTATGATGTAGCAATTCCATTCCTAAGGATTTTATTTTAAAAAAGAAAATGGGAACAAACACGTTCACCAGATTTTTAAAAGAATGCTCATAGCAGCTTTCTTTCTAATAACCACAAAGTAGATAAAAATCCAAATACCATAAACACAACTGATAAACACATTGCAGTACATATTCATATAGTAAAATACTACTGCATAATAAGAAGAAACATACTCCTACTATATGGAACTCAGCTATATCTCTAAGATACTATGCTGAATCAAAAGAAGCAGACCAGTAAATATACACACTGCATGATTCCACTTATACAAAGTTCTACAAACTGCAAAACTTCTCCAAGGTGCAGGAAGTAGTGCCTACGGTGGAGGTGGGAAGAGGCAGAGGTATATCTAGAGTATAGGCAACAACGTGTATTTGTGGAAACTCATGGTAAGATTTGTGCATTTTATTATATGTAAATTATACCTCATTTTTTTTTTTAAGTTAAGCAACTCTAAGCCAGCCTTTTGATCTAATTCAATGCTTAAACATCATCTTAACTTTGAACAACTTGGACTAATTTTACAACCTCTAAATTTAAAAACACAGCCACATCTCTCTGTTATCTAATAAAACAGTAAAAAAATAAAACAAAAGTGAGAAAGAGAGAATATTTACTAAATATATAAGTCAGGTCCCTTCCTATTGTGTAATTATTACATCATTTAATTCTCCATATTTCTTTTTTTTTTTTTAAGACTATTTATTATTTGAGAGAGAGAAAGAGACCAAGGTGAAGGGTAGAAGGATACAGAGAATCTCAAGAAGACTCTGCACTGAGCACGAAGTCCGACGGGCACAATCCCACAATCCAGAGATCATGACCTGAGCTGAAATCAAGAATGAGACGCTTAACTGACTGACCCACCCAGGCACCCCTCCATATACCTAAAGATGAGTATAGTATCTCCATTTATATATAAAGAAACTTGGAAAAGTTACTAAACCTCTAATGCTAAAAAAATATTGCTTCAGAAAATTTAAAACACAAATATATATGGAAAAATAAAATTACTGATCATATAAATTCAAACAAATAACATAAAAAAACAGGGATCTTAATAATATACTAAAAAAAGATTTAAAAACCACTAATCAAGTAGCAGTATGATGAGATAAAAATTTTCCCATTATCCTGGTTGGATGTAGATACCTAAAGCTGAGGACAAACTAACTGCTCTCAACATGGCACCTTCTGAAGCAAAAACAACTAAGGTGAGACAGCAACCCCTGTAGGTTTTATTAAAAGGCAACTGAATGAGTACACAAGGACGCACCATCACTGGGTCCCACATGCTCCAGTAAGGGAGGTAGGTAGAGAGAGGGTGGGTGATCACTGGCTGGCTGGAAAGATGCTGTGCCTTTGTAAGGTGCTCCCTTCTTGTCTCTTCCTGGCACTCAAAGGAAGTAAGAAGAGGCTCCAAGACCTCCACCTTCAGAAAGGGGAAGGCCCAATGAACAGAAGCCCAGCATACCACTGGCAGCTCTGTATCTACATGCACCTTTGGAGCAAGCTAGACCCACTCCTCCCCAAGCTAAAACGGCCTCCACTATGCACTAGCACAGCCTGGATACAGGGGCTTCCTGCAGTCCAGTGACACCAGGAAAGGCAGCTAGTTTGGTGAGTCCTGCTGGTGACCCCATGGTGTGAGATAAAGTGGAAGTAGCTCTTCCACATTTGGGAACTATGAGATGGGACAGTCCACAAAAATCACTGAGGAATTCATATACAAGCTCCAAAACATTCTTAAAGTTTAAAGTTCACTGGAGGTAGTGCCCGGAGAAAACCTTAATCTAAATAATTTCAAATTGGTACTCTACCAAGCTCAGACCATCAAATCGTCAAACTACTCATTAAAAATGTTCATAAATTAAAGCACTTTTTTTTAAACCATCAGACCATAGTAATAATGCTCACATGCAGTGAAAATCAAGGTTTTCATTATAAATACCACGTTATAAAATACATCAAGAATCTTAACCATCGGGCAGCCCAGGTGGCTCAGCGGTTTAGCGCTGCCTGATTCAGCTCAGGGTGAGATCTCAGAGTACCGGGATAGAGTCCCACATCGGGCTCCCTGCATGGAGTCGGCTTCTCCCTCTGCCTGTGTCTCTGCCTCTCTCTGTGCGTGTCTGTCTCTCTCTCTCTCATGAAAAAAAAAAAAAATCTTAAAAAAAATATATTAGCCATCAATATTATATTTCCTTCCTCAAATATCTGATGGAAAAATCAAAGCAGTGAAAGGAAAGAGTTTGTTAGGTTAGTAGTGTGCTCAAATTTTGCAAAGGAATACCAGAAAACATAAAACATACATTAATTCACTCACTAAAATTAACACTGCTGATTACTTGGGTCCATTTTTCTTTTGTAATCATCAAAAGGAAATCTAAACTCTATCCAACAGCAAAAACAGTTGGAATGCTCTCATCATAAGGTAGTCAGTAGTATATAAAACCAAAGACTAAAAAAAAAAAAAAACTCCTTCAAATTGGTGTTCTTTCCAGCAAGTCAAGAACACTACATAATTCATATTTCGAAGACTCACTGCCAAGAATGCAGTAAATGGGACCTTTGAGTAAGGAATGCAATGTAGAAAAATATTTCCCCAGTCTAGAAAAGATTTTGAGTAAAAATAAAACTTCATAAACTTAAGACCTAAGAATAAAATACAATAGGTCTGTTGCCAACAATACTAGAAAATATGCAAAAAAAATCACATACTTTTCTATATACTTAATTAATGAAGAAATTGAGGCCTATCCACATTTAGAAGGCAAGTCAAATGTCAAAAGGACAAAGATTAGTGTGTACTCAATAGAAACCAATTCAGAAACCCTTGATTACACATACAGCAGATTAGTAACATGTTATGTCAAAATATACTGTTTTCTCTTCCCAAATAACCCCTCCATTTCCTCACCTTTTCTCCTCTCTATCTGGAATGTTCTCCATCCCCATCACCACCTTCTGAAATCCTACCAGTCAGTCCTTTAAGGCTCATTCCAAAGGCAACTTCCTCCACTGTTCAGCCTTCCTCAATTATTCCAGCTAGAAAAAACATATTCTAAAGTCCCGTAGTGAACTTTCTCTGCCATATTTAGAATCTGTTATATGTATTTATTTTTTCTCCTCTACTAAACTGCAAACACCTTGACAATCTTTCCCCCCCAGTCCTCCATACAAATCAAGCATTATACCCTACACACAGGAAGCATCAATAAATGTATACAAAATGAATTAAGAGGGAGGAACTGCTTCAGTCAGAAGTGATAATTTTAATATCAATACTATAAAGTAAAATGCTTACTCTAAAATGACAATAAATAATAGAAAAAATATATAATATATAGCACTGACCCTTGGTGGCCCAATAATCATGCCTGTCCACCTTGTAAGTGTCATATCTTCATCATCTTCAAGGCCCCAGCTAACCGTACCATCGCCTACTCCTTTTTGTCCTTCTTCAAGTTCTTCCAACAAGCGAAAATTACGAGGAACTTTAACGCCTATACAAAAGAATGTCAATGTAAATGTAAAAAGCCTATAATTACAAGAGCTGCATATATTCAAATTCAGCTTTTTCCAAATTAATTTTTATAATTTATTTTAAATTATAGACAAAAAGACAAAAATTCCCTTTAAGCATTCTGCCCAAAAAATGCTCAATCTAAAAACCGCACAAAATGAAAACACTAAAGAAAGCACTGTACCAAATATTAACTGCAATATAGAACATTTACATAAATTCCTAATTAACATTATCCTGGCATAAATCAATCATAAGGAAATCATTATAAAATGAGTATTTTCCATAACTGAGAATCTGTTCCAAGCCTAAAACACTGCATCGAATAAATGGGCAAAGGGCAGCCCAGGTGGCTCAGCGGCTTAGCACCCGCCTTCAGCCCAGGGTGTGATCCTGGTGACATCGGATCTGGTCCCGCGTCAGGTTCCCTGCATGGAGCCTGCTTCTGCCTGTGTCTGTGCCCCTCTGCCCCCCCCCCATGAATAAATAGATTAAATCTTTTAAAACACACACACACACACAAATAAACGGGCAAAGACCAGAAAGTTCATAAAAGCTCAAATTCATATATATACTCTATTGCTTTTCTAAGACTAGAATTATGTTCCATCTTTTAAAAAGTACTAGAGGGTACTATTTTTTTCTAGAATGCTGACGCAGCTCCACCCATAGTCCCCAATCTCCTTTCCTGTTCTCATCCCAAACCAGTAGGATCTTACTTTTCCCACGTTGGTGCTTAATCATTACTTGGACAGTTCCTCCATTTGAGAACAACTCTCGTTATGGATGTAACAGTTTCCTAGGACCCGCCCTTCACCTCTGGGCCCAACCTTATCAATTATTCATGATCCACTAGCCCTTCTCACATTTCCCCTTCTTTAGAACTCATCACCTCTATTTCTAAAATCTTAACAGAAGTCTTCCTCTCTACCTAGAATTTCCTAGAATTCACAGTTTTCACTTTTATTCTCGATTAACCTGGTCTTTGCCACCATTGTGACCTCCAACCCCTAGAATCTAACCATGATTCCTCTAATTGACCACAACCTTTCCTAAAATTATTGGCTTGGCATCTCCATAGGATGGACCCTGTTGTCTCCCAAGTTCTCCATAGCATCTAGCTTGAAACATCCCCTAGCTCCACCACAGAAGTCCTGAAAAAATTAGGTAAATGCCCTCAGAAGCCTCTCTCTCTCTGGAGCTTGTGCATATGTGCTTGTGCATGCTCTGTCTCTCAAGCATGCACATACACAGCTATGAAGCAGAAAGGACATCTCTTTTATATATGTATATATAATAACACATACACATATACACACACACACATATTTTTAGTGACATCTCTTCTAAAGAGACTATCATTTGTGTTAACTTCTCTCTCTTGGTAAAACCAAAACATCTTTCACTTACTAATTCATAGTAATCCTTCTGGACGTACAATGAAAAAACAGTAAATACTGGAACTTGGAAGAACACTAGCCATTTTATGTGCTGGCTTTATTTTTTAAAAAGTGCTTGGAAATCTTGGGTCACAGAAATACGGAGCTGTCATAAATCACAAGAAACAAGAGTAGCCATTACTTTAACTCCCATGATTGTATGCTACTTTAAATACCTTATCCCACTTAACCCTACAAACACCCAGTCTACACCTGTAGGAATTCAGGTATGAAGAAGTTATGTGACCTACCCAAAGTCACACGGCTGTAAGATAGAGCCTCAGTTTCTAGACCAAAGCCACTTTCACTCATTAAGTTGCACAGCAATACAAACTACACAGGCAGCATATCCTGGCAGAGATCTAGGAATCAGACTGCCCAAGTCTAGTTCAGCTAACCATTTGACATGTAACCCCCCACCCAGCCCTGTCTTCTCAGCTATAAAAGTGAGATAACAGAAGTTCTTACATCACAGAATCACTGTGAAAATTAAATAAGATAATCCATCTTAAACTCAATAAATGCTATGATGATCATTTTAGTATTTTATTTTATTCTTTTTAAAGATTTTATTTATTCACGAGACAGAGAGAGGCAGAGACACAGGCAAAGGGAGAAGCAGGCTCCATGCAGGGAGCCCGATGCAGGACTGGATCCCGGTACTCCAGGATCACACCCTGAGCCGAAGGCGGTGCTAAACCGCTGAGCCACCCAGGGAACTCCTAGTATTTGATTTTAGATAGAATTACATAAAACTTCTATTAACCTGCATCTAAGCTACGTGAGAAGAAAAGTTCTTTGTCCAATCCTATAGGGTGGCCCCTAGAAATTTTATCCTAAGCTGTAAGTTTCTATTCACCTAACATTGGGACATATGCTATGCTATTTTCCTATAGATTTATAGTCATGACCTACAATACATTGCTACTGAACTGCTTTTTAAAGTAATCTTAAAGGAGCTTGATTATCCTTACACTTATGGAGTCATTCCCTAAGAATTATTCTAAATTTGCATTGAATTTTGTTGCCTATTTAATAAACAATTCCAACAAGTGACCTTTATAAACACCGAAACTACAAAGTAAACAATGTAAAATTAATGTTTCTTTTTACATAAATGCCATAAAAGTGGTAAACCTAGTTATTGCTAAACTTTTCACCCTTTACCTTTATATAGCATTTTGGGAAAATACTTTTAAGACTGATAGAGCAATTATTGAAATACTAACATTTAAAAAGTTATAGCAGCTAAGACTATTTGCTTTTAAAGTATAAGACAAGAAAAAAAAAAGCCACTAAGCCATATTTCCAAATTCGGTACTAGAGCACTCTGGTTTTATTTCACCCAATCACTATGATCTGTGAAGAAAAAAAAGCCACAAGATAGGGATGTTGCTCCATGAAAACTCAAGTGTGTACATAAGCTGCCCTCTGGATCTCTTGCCATCTATGAACCTTCTTCTATAGTTCTATTTGTCTTTTTCCTATATGTCTATGTGTGTTGGGTTTTTTTTAATAGCTTTAAATATTTTACCTCTTTAGGATGGGATTTTTATTAAAAGAAAAAAAGTAACCCATAAATCCACCCCTTTCTAGCTGAAACTTATAAAATGCTGTCAATTTTTGGTTCAAAAGAACACCAAAGAATGCCAAAGATCATCTAGTCCAAAATCTAATACTTCAGACTAATGAAAATTATCACCAAGAAATGTTAGGTGATTATACCTATATATAGGTATAGATTATATAATGTCACTTAACTTGGTTGACAAACCAAGTCAAAAATCTATGTCCTGTCTTCTCCACTAATCTAGTCTCCTCTTTAGTCCGTTATAACGAACCTGCACTCCTGGGGGTAATAATACCAAAAAGAGTAACATTCATAACCAAAACTGTGAATGCCTAGAATACATGTTTCCAGCTTTAAATCTCAAGGATATCAAATTCCAAATCCCTTGCCTTTAATTCCCATGATACCAAAAATAAGGGCATAAAGATTACTGAATAAATAGAATAAATCTTGTCATGCAATATTAGGAAAAGATATCCCAACTCTAAGTTTTTACCTTTTTCAAGTTACAACGAAAATAGTATAAGACCTTGAATAGCAATAAGTCTATCAATCTATCCACACAAACATAAGAAACGACAGGAAACAAACTTACCAGCAGTTTGCAATTAATCATCTAAATTAAAGTTGAAAGGTAGTATGGTTTGAGAGAGTAGTGTGGATTCTAGTTTCAGCTGATGGTGAACAGTCTAAGATATACAAAAGTCCCCAAAATTCAGAAATAATTATTACCATTTTAGTGTATTTCTCTTCAGATTATTTCCCATGTACAATCTATGATTCCTATGCTTTTTTCCCCAAATAAGATCTTGACTCATAGTTTTGTAACTTCCTTTCCCCCCGTTATGAACATATTTCTATGGCAGGCATAATCAAGTACCATTTTTAAATGCCCCAATAAATAATATTAGTCTTGCTTGAGGGTCAGAGGTAGGGAAACTGGACCAGGGGAATCGTTGCCTACTCAAAAATTAAAGGAAAACACCTGTTGGAATGGAATAAATCTTTTCTGTCTTATGTGCTTTTCAACCATCCTTTAGCTGGTCCTCAAGAACACCCAAATTAGCTATGGGACCCTTTCCCTCATCCCTCTACTCAAAGTATCTATGAGATAAGGAAGACCTGGGGCTTGTGGGCTGTGGAATATGGTCAGACTGTTTCCCTGCCCCCTGCAGAGTTCTTAGGCATGGGTTGCAACAAACCTGAGCAGACAGACACACTGTTAAGAAGTCCCACCTGGGGATCCCTGGGTGGCTCGGCAGTTTAGCGCCTGCCTTTGGCCTGGGGCATGATCCTGGAGTCTCAGGATTGAATCCCACGTCAGGCTCCTTGCATGGAGCCGACTTCTCCCTCTGACTGTGTCTCTGCCTCTCTCGCTCTCTCTCTGTGTCTCGAATGAATGAATGAATGAATGAATGAATGAATGAATGAATGAATAAATAAATAAATAAATAAATAAATAAATAAATAAATAAAATCTTACAAAAAAACAACAACAACAACAACAAAAGAAGTCCCACCTGTGATTTAAATTGTCTGGCTCTGCCCTATTGTGGGAGTTCTCAGTTCTCCTCAAACACCCAACAAGCTGACTTGATTTTTAATAAAATATTTATTGAGCACCTCCTACAAGACAAACATCTGCTAAAAGCTTTAAAGACAAGAGTACTTCATTAAATCTCACCTTGTAAACTGATACAATATCACCATTTCACTAAGTAAAAAAAAAAAAAAAAACTAAGGCTTAAATTATTGGGTTGAGCCTTATAAAATGAAACTGCTGCTTTCAGGTATCTTTTTAACAGAAAGAGTAATCTCATAAAATTCAATCTAACTACATGGAGAATGAGTCAGGGTTGAATCTCTTAGCCATTATTCTCCAATGCCTTGTCATGTAACCTGCTAGTCCCAGGTGAAACTCATTTCCCTAGCTACTGCTAACTTGTCCCCAAGTCCCTGCAAATCTGATGG